AAGCAAGGCAGCAGCACACTGGTCCGATAATCAAAGAGTGAGAGACAAGAAAGGCAAGGTTCCCCCCAGCTGTTTATCTCTACACCCTTCAATTAATCCCACATGTGTTTATCGGCCCGGCTGGCACAATAAACTAACTACCTCAATACCCAAGTCAGAAAAGATGGCACATTACACGATGTAAACCTGAATAATTCATGTGAGGGATGTCAAAGTAGAAAATATGCTCGCAAATCTATATTTACCCTAGTAAAGTATGATTATATGAAAAGAGAAATATGAAGATATACAAAAAGGTCAATATAATACAGGCAATAATGCATAATAAAAGGATAATCTTATAATTAAATGCTTCTAAAAATGTAAATAACATAAGAAATTTCTGGAAAGAAAAATAAAACTACAACCGAATTAGAAGTAAAATTCATAAGCGCCTATGCATGCGGTGCATCTGGAAATCAAAGCTGTAGATGAGGGCAGCGTAAGAAGCTCCTGAAGAAACGTCAGCAGTGTTTAATATGACAGGAGTTTTGTAGGTGCAGAAAACAAATAAATGAACATTTGAAAAAGGAAAAAATAGTGTTACATTTGGAGAGAAAATAATTGACAGAAAGGGAGAGAAAACAGGTAATTACTGAAAAGAATGGTGTTTGAATGCAAAATATGAAGAGATAGATGATAAAGAGATAAATTGATCAATGTATAGATGTAGACAAATTTATCATGTATCCATTCTTAGCCACAACTAAGATATTCATTATTAGACTGAATTTAAAAGTAATTAAAACAAAATGAAGCTGTGGACTGCTAATTGTAAGGTTGACTGTTCAAATCTATGAGCTGCTCTAATGGAGACAGATGAGGCTGTATAGTCCAGTAAATATTTCGTCTCAGGAAACCTGCTCTGTCCCTCTTAAAAGAGCCATGTGGAAGGACTGATAAATCCAGGCTGTGGTGCAGCACTGATAATGCACATAACTATCCTCTAGTTCTTTAATATTTCCTCCCATTACTATTATCGTTATTTGTTTTACATCATTAATCATGTTAGACTTGTGTATGTTCATTTGTATAATTAAAATCATTTGATACGAGAAAACCAAGATAGATAACCCTTCAGAAAAAGTAAGAGGAGTAATGGTTCCCTAAGAGAACAGAAAGCAAGGGGAGGGATGGGAGGGGGGAGAGGGGAGGGGATTGAACAAAGGAAATGGACATAAATGGATATATTAAATGGTGTAAGTTGCAGCAAAAAATAAAAGTAAGTGTTCCTGGTGGGGAGGGCTGAGGAGGGAGTGGAATACAGCGGAGCTGATATCAAGAAGGTCAAGAAGAAAGAAACGTTTTGAAACTGACTGTGGTAGTAATTGTACAATAATGCCTGATGTGATTGAACTATGGAATGTGATGCTATCTGTAAGAGCTCCCAAGGAAATGGTTAAAAACAACAACAACAAAACCCTAAAAAAGAAATCCTGCCCTGAGTTGCTATGAATTGGAATTGACTGGATGGTAGTGGGTTTGTTGTGATCTGAAACCTTCATGAAATTGTAAGCATTGTTTTGCAAATAAATAACATGTTTTATTGTTTACATTGAAAATAGGAAATAACAACCAAGATCACTTTTGCAAAATAATAATTTTGAGGGATATTAAAACCATTTTTAAAAAGAAACCATAGAGATAACGTAATTCAAAAGTAAGTATTTACTTATAATATGTGATATTGTACTACTTTTAGAATATTGATTGAATAAATCATAGCTTTTAAGGACTTAAGACAGGTGCAACTGAAGTAGTGAGCACTTCACTACTTATCAAAAAATTCTTTTGTGAGATAGAGTTAATTGATATTAATCTAGTTTCTGAAGGAAATTAACCAAAGTATGGCAGGAATGATTGTATTGCTATTCAATAAACTAAATTCAAAACAATAAAAATGCCATGGTTTAATCATCTAATTGTTTAATCTAAATTTTAACAAATTTGCTATACTTTCTTTTATGATGGTATAGAGACAAAAGAACTTCTATACATTGAATGCAAACTGATGATTTAACAATGAGTAACCTAGCACGAGAAAAGAACATTAATAATTATGCAGAACATAACACTTGGGAAGAGAGAAGAAATAATTCAGAAGGATAAAAGGGGAGATCATAAAGAATTTCCAGTTGGAGAAAATAGGGCACATTTCCAGATGTAAAATAGTTTTTATATATTTTAAGATACATACTTCAAAATCAAATATAGACTTTATTGGTGACCCCAGAATTATAGCTTTCAATATTTTGAGATGTTATTTACCCCATGATTTTTCTAATGGAAACAATCCTATAACATTCACATAATAACATTGTCCTGTTAAGTTGTTATTTGAAAGGATTTGGATCTCAAACCTATATAACATTTAATACCTAATATTTACTCTCTGTGTGACTATAAGAGAAACTACTTAAATTCTTCATTTTCCAATAAGAAACATTTGCTCCTAAAAAAAATGCCTTCTTTTGATTTATAATAGCTTAAGCATTTGGATAATTTGATTTTTGATTTTTGACATTATCATCAAATCTAAATTAAAGGCATTTATTTAGCTGTATGATTCTGTTCCTAAAACCATTTCTTATTTTCATAAATACTGACCTTGTATAGTATAAGAGATCTTTTCTAGTTATTCATAAAATAACATGAAGCATTACTTAGAATTAAAGATTATCTACATTTTAGCACGATGTTTGAAAACATAGATGTATTTTATTTTCGGAATGAATTCATCATGGGATATTTGAGGATTTAGTTTTGAAATATTGTTTTGAACAATGAATAAAAGAACATTATGAACCCACACTAAGCCATTAAAAGTTTTAAATGACAACAGTAGATTGGATGCTAACGCCTATTTGTGGGTATCACAGAATGAGAGTATAAAAATAAAATTAGGTGAGGGTGATCAATATAGGCTACAATCTTCCATATGTTTCAGCGATTTTTATATTTAAAATATTTTATAAAAGTTAAAGATATCATCTTGAGGTAGTAAAGACATTTTTAAAAATGACGTCCTTCAAGACTCGTTCCACTTGTTTATTTCTTAGGGTGACTACAAAAGGATTTAACACAGGTGCAACTGAAGTGGTGAGACTGCTATCCCCCTGGTTTAACGCTACCCTTTCCTCTGCAGAAGGCTTGATATACAAACAAATACAGCTACCATAAGAGATGGAGACAACAATCATGTGGGAGGCACAGGAAGGGAAAGCTTTCTTCTGCTGCTGAGCTGAAGGGATTCTCAGAATTGTTCTTATGATGTATGCATAGGAGAGCACCACCAGTGCCAATGTAATAAGGAGTGTGATACTGGCTAAAATAAAGCTTCCTAATTCTATCACTTGTGTGTCTGTGCAGGAGAGTTTTAGGACAGGAGAATAGTCACAAGCAAAGTGATCAATAATATTGGCATCACAGGATTCCAAATCCAGGCCCATGAGAAGTCCAGGAGAGATTGTTAACAACCCAGCCAAGCAAGAGGTAACCACCAGCTGGGTGCACACGCTGTTGTTCATAATGGTCACGTAGTGAAGGGGTTTGCAGATGGCCACGTAGCGGTCATAGGACATGGCAGCCAAGAGGAGAAATTCTGATACACCTAAGAAAATGGTGAAGAACAATTGTGCCACACAAGCATCGTAAAAAATCGTTTTGTCCTTAGTCACAATGCTGAACAGGTATGTAGGGATGCAGACAGACGTTATTGAGGTTTCTAAGAATGAAAACATTCGAAGAAAGAAATACTTGGGTGCTTTGAGGTGGGAATCCAGTAGTGTGAGCAGGATTATGGTCATATTTCCAGTAACACTTTTGAAGTTAGAATTCTATTATAAAATAATATTTTATTTATTACCCAATTAATTCATTATTTGAGCAAATTTACTAATACATTTTTTAACCTATAAAATTTCTAGGAGGATTGTGTACCCATTTCCCATAATTTCTTCTCTTTATAGTCATAAGATATGGAGCTTTTTGTCTTTTACCTTTACCTGATCTTAGCTAACATTCACCATCTACAAAATTCATTTTTCTATAAGAAGCATATCAGGTAAGAGTTAAAATTTCACCATGTAAATATTTTTGAAACTTACAGACTAATGATTACATGGCTTCCAAAATTATTGCATAATTACATTACAAGTGATTACAATGATATAACTAGGCAAAAAATGCATAAATGGAGTTTTTCAAGCACAAAATATTCCTATCATTAAAAAAATGTTGCCTGATATTATTGAAATGTAGTAATTTTCAATTGTATCTTTCGTAGTAACTGTGAGGATTTATTCTATTTATATGTGATATCACACATACTTTATATTATTTTAATATAGCCTAGATATGTTCTACCAAAAGTACAATATATCTGTTAAAATAATCAGAAATGTAGTTTTATGGAAAAAATGACTGATTTACTCATCTTTAATGATGCATTTAACTAGTTTAACATAAATGCCCTAGGGTTTCAGAAGTCTTACCAACTGCTCTGCTCCTGTCATTTTACTTTTGTAGATGAATATCCAAAATGAATATCCAAAAAACTAAGAAAATCCCAAGAGCTCCTCTACAATGTCCAGAAAACACCCATTGCTACATACACACTCGCATTCTTCAACATACTTTGATTCTGAGAAATCGTAGCCACATCATGAAGTAATATCTTACCCTTAAATTAAGTTAAAATTGAAGTGAAAGCTAGTCAATTGCTTTTCCAAGCTTAATGGTCAACAAGATATGATTTTCAAGGCAGAAGTAATGTTTTTCGTTTGTCCCCATCTATCTTTTCCATTTACAAATGGATACAAGGGATTACATAAATGAATAACAAAAATATTCCACTTGGCAACTGCTGTTCTCAAGACACCAAGGGCTAAGCAATAGACTGAATTAACATACATTTACAATAGGATATTTGGCGATAGTGACCTGAAATCAGAAAAGAATAAAATGTAGAGAAATTTACATATATATTATACAAAATTATTTTAATTAACAAAGAAAGAAGATATAAAGTTTCAGTCTCTAAATTCCAACAGACCTAGGATAAATAAAACAGTATTAAAAAATAAAAACAAAGTAGGAGCCCTTTCACTCCTAGACTTAAAACCTACTATATTGCCATGATAATCAGAACAGTGTGGGTGGGATTGATACAAAGATAAAACTGAAGACCAAGGGATTTGACTCTAAAACCAAGAAGTACAACCTATAGCCACCTAATTTTTTAAAAAATATTAAAACAATCTAAGTGGGCAAAAGACAACATTTTCAATAAACTGTGCTGGAAAAACTGGATTTTCACCTACAAAAGAAGGAAACATGACTCATATCTCACAATTACAAAAACAAACTCAAGATGGATAAAAGACCTATATTGAAATCAAATAGTTATTAAGGTCATCAATTTAAAAAAATAGGGACAAATGTAAGGGCCCTAATACAAGGCATAAACACACTACTGAACATAATGAAAAATATTGACACTATAGAACACAAAATAAAGAGCTGGAGCCTAATAAAAATACAACACTTATGGCCAACAAAAGACCTCATCAAAAGAGTTAACAGAGAAACCACAGATTGGAGGGAAATATTCAATAGTAATACATTAGAGTGAAGGCTGATTTCCAAAATCTATAGAAAACTACACTATCTTCACCAGAAAATCCCAAATAATCCAATAAAAAATGGGCACAAGATATGAATAGACAATTTACCAAAGATATCATCCAGGGGGTCACAACCATGAGAAGCAGACTAGCCAGAGAAACTCCATTTTCTCAACTGCTAGATAGCCTGACCACATTCTTTCTCAGAAATCCCCAATAGTGATTGATTTTAGAATGTGCTCTCATGTTCCTGGGATCGGAACATTGTGATTAATTTTGCTTTAGATTAATGCAACAGTTTGGTGCATTGGCTGGGAAGACACTGTACCTTGATGGCTTGCCCAACACCTGCTCCTGGAAGTGTGAAACCTCTAAGGGAGGTGCCCCTTGGTGGCACCAGGGACCCCAATCTAGTGGCTGCATGGGGATGCTGGAATTCTGAAATTCAGCCTCAGTCTCCTGTTCCTCCAGAGGTAAGTCTGGCAGTGAGGCCAGTCCTTTGGTTTGATTGGGGAAGGGGACTTGATGGGGTCTTTACTCTTCCCAGTCACTTCTCACCAGGTCACTGCTTGAGAAATTTGGTAACTTGATTAAGTGCCTGCTTATCTCTTCAGAAACCTTCTTAACAGGTCTGGTAACCTGTTTAAGTTAGCTGCTCTTTTTCTCAGACTGCTGCTTAACCAGTCTGGTAATTTGTGTAACCTGTATCCTTTGACTGGAAAGTTTAAATTATCCACTAAAAGTTGAATTTCAATCAGGGAAAAACTTATTTGGCATTATAAATTTTAAAATTTTGTGTGGTATTTCGTAAAGAACATTGAATGATTTTATCCACAAACCTGGGATTTGGACAGACTGAGTGAATTAATTTTTAATCTAAACTACCAGGAAACTTTGTAGGCATTTGAGCCGTGGGAGGTGGATTGATTTGTGTTTGTGCTTTTATTTTTGTTGTAAAAACGAATAACTGTAGCAAAAAGGGAAAACCCATCTTCAATGCATGCTGGACAATTTGAAACAGGAAAAGTCTCGTCTGGTTTTCAGTTTGCCTGCTTTTCAGTTCTCCTGGATTGACTTTTTTTGTACTGTCTTTTCCATGTTACCTCCGAAGATCTTTTGCCCTTCTAAATTTTTGCTATATTAGCTTTGCAGTATTGCTTAAAATAAAGGGCCTGCCGAGCTCTGTGTCTTTGTTGCAGAACTTTGAGTAGTTTCACCCAGAGATTTGAGAACCCGGATGTGCTTTGAATGCGTAATTAATCTTTGCTTCCAGGAAACACTTTGTGATTTCAGCCCATGGAAAGTGTTTTTATCTTAATTTTGTTTATTTTTCTGGTTTACTGTCAATTTATACTTTATTTTCTTTGGAAAGGAATTAACTGTTTTTAACTCAGAAAACTTGTGTAGGTTTGTATTTGTGTTTAATTAAACCTCTAACCTGCATGTTGGGTGAGCATCTGATACCTGGACCCGGTCCCAATGATACTTCATTGTGGTACCAGCTGGCATGCTTCTTCCATGTAGGCTTGTTGTATCTCTGTTGGATGGCCCCTTGTTTAGCCTCAAGCCCTAAGACCCAAGACATTTTTTTTAATGTGTACTCTTCACCACATTTGCTTATGCACCCATTTTGTCTTCAGCAATTGGGTTGGGAGGGTGAGTATCCCAGAATGACAATTTGTTAGAACAAAGTATTATTGTATTGTGATAGGGTGTGAGCAGAACCCCAAAGTCCATCCACCACCTCAGTGTATTGCCTATATATGTATATAGGCCAATACCTCTCTTTTTATGAATTAATGTATTTACATATGTGCACACCTGTGCTTATACCTCTATCCATAGCATTGCTTCCTACAACCTTCTTCTGTTTCCTTTGAACTTCCTACTGTCCCATCATCACATTCCCCCTACTTCTGCCTCTTAGTACTTCCTCTCAGCTAGATTGCTGTTGCTCCAACACCCCCAGGATCGCTACATCTTCCTTATTGTTGATTTTAATTCCCTAGCCGTTCCTCTGTCTATAGCATTGTTTATTCACCACATTGGGTCACACTCTTTGACCACTCAGCAGCTCAGACATTCTGTGTAAGAGCTTACTGTCACTACAAATCACTCTCCATGGTTGGTTGGTGACCTAGGGTGTTCTCTGTAACACCACTGATTCTGCCTGTACTACAGGATCGCTTTGTAAGATATAAATGGCTTCCTGGCCAAAAGGTATTCCCCTACCTCATCCCACCTTGCCTGAATCTGTCTGCTGTGTCCTCTGTCCCTGATCTTCCACAGGCAATGGTCCCGGTCCCTCCCCTTCTAACCCATGGAGAACAAAGAACAGTCACAGAAATTGACTGCCTGCTCTCACCTTTAAAGAGCAGAAAGCATCAGCAGATGCTGGCTCCCCGCTCTGTAGAACTCTGGTAATGTCTTAGCTTCTGTTTTTCTAAAGTCATTGCCCCCCTTGGGATGACTGCCAACAAATTTGGGTTGTGTTTTTCATGTCAACTGAGCACAGAAATGTGTGTCCAATAGATGAATACATCAATAACATCATTCACAGAGCCATATAATCCTGTTTTAGCTGTGAGGAATGAAAGTATAAACGGACCAGTCCCAAAGTAACAGTTAAAATTTACAGCAGAGTCAAGTGTACAGAGGTTTGTGGTTTCAGATTGATGAGATAATGACAAGATCTCTCCTCCTGCACTCATGTTTTCTGCTCAGAATGAACACTCGGTGACACAAAGAGAGACGGTTTCAACCTCCAGCATTCATTGTAGGTTCTTGGCTACTCTTCCTTCACCAAGTAGCCAACATCTGAAATTCAGTTGTATAGCTCTCAGGACTCCCAAGTCATTTTTAAATGACTGTTCGTGTGCTGAGGTCACCTCAGCTACTGGAGGCGAGTGAAGTTTCCTTTCTGGCTATATCTTTTAATATATGAAAAGTGTTTTCATGTGCGTCATTACATTAAGTCTATTCTTCATCTAATGGATTCAATGTCTGCAGGCTT